CATCTCAGCCGGTGGTCCACCGCATGGCCTGCTGTCGTTATCACTGGTAGAGCATCGAGGAGAGGCAGGCGGATGTTTTCGAATGTCTGGTATGTGTGCCCCCCCGTGAGGGCACGGACGCGTCCGTTGCACCATCCTGTAGCCGCTCCCGCTAGCCTGACTGTGCCGCGCTGCTGCGCGCGTAGCCACAACGCCACAGTTTGTCTGTGTGCGTTGTGGGTGTGTGCGTGTATGTGTGTATATGTTTGTATGTGTGTGTGTGTGTCTGTGTGTGTGTGTGTCTGTGTGTCTCTGTGTGTATGTCCGCCGGTGTGTCTGAATGTGTGATTGTGTGTGCGTTTGTGTGCGTGTCCGATACGTCTCATGGACCTTGAATTGCCCGTGTGGCTCCTCGCCCCATCCGTGTGCGCTCAGTAGTGTGTGTGTGTGTGTGTGTTCGTGTGTGCGTTTTGTTTTATGTTGTCTGCACAGACTTAGGCCTCTGGAGCAGAGCGGGCAGGGGGGGACGATGAAGATGTTCGAGATTCACGGGTCCTTGGTCGGTCCTGCGGGACCCTTGCTCAGAGGGGCACGAGGAAGAGGATGAGGACACGGAGGAGGAGGAGAAAGCGGACGAAAAGGGCAGGAGGAGGAATGGTGAAGGTCTTTGGGGAGTTCTAGGAGTCTTTGCTACGACTCTGCGCTTGTAGATCAGAACGGCCTCCCGTGGCCCCCCCCCCCAACGTGTGGCCTCCAAGCGAGGCCACTATGTACCACCCTCTCCGTTCAACCGCCCTCGCCATCGGAAAAAGCAAGACCGCTTTTGCCGCAAATCACGCTGACCTAAGAAGCTTCAGGGAGCTGGCCCAGACATGCGACGTCCTGATTTTTTCAGGATGGCGTCCCCGGAAGTCCCGGCCCTTTCCCTGGGGCCGGTTTTTCGTCCTGAGTCGTTTTTTGACGGTCCCGAGGCCCGGCGAGGGCCCCCCGAGGCCGAAGATATGCCAAAACCTCCCGTCCTAATTTTTTAACGACGCGATCATGTCTGGGGGGGCAGTGCGTTCTCGGAGGACCCACGGTCAGAACAGGTGCTCGGCGCGGCGCTCCGCCGGCTCTGGCCCCTCACGCTTCGGTCGGGGCTCGAGAGACGGGGTCCACGCCAACGGGGGTCAATCAGAGCGCTGGGTCTTGCAGGATCCTGCAGGGCTAGGGTCGCACTGACCCGGGCTTGGGTGCAGGATCCTGCAGGATCTTGCAGGATCCTTCGCGTTGGCCTGGGCTTGGGCGCAGGATCTTGCAGGATCTTGCAGGATTCTGCAAGGCCTGACTGGCCCGGGTCTGGATTGACCCGGGCCAGAAGTCGGCGACTACAAAGGGTATGGTTACGCCAGGGTGTGGCTTGCGATCGGCACCGTTAGGGCCTGGGGGGCATGACGCTGTCCTCGTCGGGCCTCCTCGGGGCGCGGGAGAACTCTATCGAGGCCCCCGCGCGCCCCCCAGGCTGCCCCCCAGGAGGTTCCCCAGGGTGCCGGTTGCAAACCACACCCTTTTGCAAAGCACATCCTTTGTGGATCGGGGGAGCGTAAGACCCGGGTTTGCCAGGACTCGGGTTCGCCATCGTTTTTTGACGACGGCGACTCGGATTTTGACGAGTAGGAGTTTCGTGGGATGTCTGCAGCGGGAGGCCTCGTCAAAATGCAGGCTCGGCCTCGTCATTTTTTTGACGACCTCGTCGGGGATTTCCGAGTCCCCTGTACCCAGGTCTTACGCCCCCCTGAAAGAGCATCCCCGATGCGGCGCGACACGCCGCTCGCGGGGCACGGGGTTGGGTAGAGCCAGGACCCCAGGTAAGGGGACCCGGTTAGTAGTACAGTGAGCGGCTTGAATAAGGAACACTTTCTTTTCAAAAGGGGCTCGGTTGTTCCTTAGGCTTGCTGGCGTTATGTACAGTTCCTTATGCGTTATTCGTTATTATTCGTTCCTTATGCGTTATTCCTTGGGATAAAAAAGGGGCTTCGTTCCTTATGTATCGTTCCTTAGGTCAGGCCGATGACTGTAGGGCCCAGGGACCCCTAAATGGGCCAGAATCACTGAACCAGGTCTTCCGTAGCTGGTGCTTTTCGGGTGACGGCAGTTCCGCTTAGTGGAACGGGGCGGGGGGGGCGTCCCCCAGTACACATCACCAAACCAGGTCCCACTAAACCCTGTTCGGCCAACGTCCGACAGGAGAGCGTTGTTTTTGCTTGCGGCATACAGTCGGGCGCTGAAGAAAAAACCCTTTTCGTTGGGTAGGGGCTCGCTGGTCCTCGATTGTTTTCCTAAGGTTTTTCCTGAGGTTCTCCTGTTGCCCCAGGTTTTCCTGAGGTTTTCCATGGGAGGTCGCAGTTGCACTTATGGGAAAAGGGGGCCTTGTTTCTTAGTTGGGGTTCCTCAGGTCAACGCCCCGACTGTAGCGGCCGTTGCCGGCCGGGGCCCCTCCCCCCCCCAGGGTAGCGTTACGATTCGTGTTGGCGCCGTATGGGAATTCTTAGGGGGAGCCCAGACAGATCGACTAGCATAGCGTCACTAATATATGTATATATATATATATATATATACAAGACTGCATGGGCGCTTCGCGCCGTGCACCTTGGTCCTCGAAGTTTGGTGTGCAGGCAGAATAGCAGGAAGGTCAAGCCGGCAATTTTAGCGATAACTCCTTGTTGCCTTTTCCGGCATCGCCGCTATGATAATGTTATCCGTTATCCTTCCTCCATGCTTATGTTTCTTCATGTTCGCCATACCTTGCGCATTCCCCACATCCTTCGCAGCTCTTTTTTGCGGAGGCTGCTCCTTGGAGAGCCTCTGGGGGCCTCACAAAAGTTGTTTCAGGCTTTCGAAAGACCTTCTGGAGGCCTCCTGGGCGTATTCTGGGGGCCTCTGGGGGCTTTCTCGGGCCACCCTGCCTCAAACCGCGGTCTCCCTGAACGACCGGGTCACGATTTGGAATGCTTCGGAGGGTGTCTTGGGGCCATCTTGGGCCGCCATGGGGCTCTCTGAGGGCCATCTTGGACCAGTGTTGTGCCGTTTTTGGGCTCTCTTGGACTGCCCGGAAGCCCTTTCGGATGGTTGTGGGGCGATTTTGGAGCCTCCCAGGCGGCTTCGGACGCCCAGAAGACCGCTGTCTTGGAGCGTCGGGAAGCCGAAAAAAGGAGAACCCCCAAAATCACCAAAAACCGTCAGAAAATCAATGGTTTTTGCCTCTTGGGGCGTTCTTGGGAGTGCTCTTGGAGGCCTCTTTGGGACCGTCCTGGAGGCCTCTTGGGCCATCTGGAGGTCACGTCGGTCACTCTTGGAGCGCTCTTGTGCTGTCTTGGGGGTCTCTGGGACGTCTCCGATGACCCCCCTGATTGCCTTAGGTGTGCTGGGAAGGCTTGGCAAAACGCCCTGCGAGGCCCAGGGGGCCGCTTCGAGGCCCTTCCAGAGGGTCCCAAAGCCCCAGATCCCGGGAGTCAGGTTTTTTTGGGGGGTGACCCCTGTCGCGTTCCGCCCGGATTGCAAACATATATTAAAGGGAATATGTGTATATATATATATATATATATATATATATATACATATGTCTGTCTGTCTGTCTGTCTGCCTGCCTGTCTGTATGCATGTATGTATGTACGCATGCATGCATGCATGCATGTATGCATGCATGCATGCAAGTATGTATGTATGCATATGTATGTATGTATGTATGTATGTATGTATGTATGTATGTATGTATGTATGTGTGTGTATGTATGTATGTGTGTGTATGTGTGTATGTATGTATGCGTGTATGCATGTATGCATGTATGCATGTATGCATGTATGCATGTATGCATGTATGCATGTATGCATGTATGCATGTATGTATGCATGCATGCATGCATGTGTGTATGTATGCATGCATTCATGCATGTATGCATGTATGCATGTATGCATGTGTGCACGTATGCATGTATATATGTATGCAGCATACATGAATGTATGCATGTATGTATGCATGTATGTATGTAAGCATGTATGGATTCACGCATGTATGTATGTGTATGTGTATGTGTATGTGTATGTGTATGTGTATGTGTATGTGTATGTGTATGTGTATGTGTATGTGTATGTGTATGTGTATGTGTGTATGTATGTATGTATGTGTGTATGTATGTATGTATATATGTATGTATGTATGCATGTTATATGTATGTATGCATGTATGTATGCATGTATGCATGCATGAACGCATGCATGCATGGATGTATGCATGCATGTATGTATGCATGTTTGTATATATGTATGTATGCATGAATGTATGTATGTACGTACGTATGTATGTATGTATGCATGTATGTATATACATATGTATGTATGTATGTGTATGTATGTATGTATGTATGTATGTATGTATTTATGTATGCATGCATGCATGCATGCATGCATGTATGTATGTATGTATGTATGTATGTATGTGTGTATGTATGTATGTGTGCATGCATGTATGCAAGGATGCATGTCTATATTTATGTATGCATGTATGTAAGCATGCATGCATGTATGTATGTACGTAGGCTAATTACACACTGGAGATGCTAGGGCAGAGCGTGCACCACGCTATTGATACGCAAGGACCTGCGATGGCTAGCCACGGTTCGCCGAGCGCAACGTAGGGGAATGCCGGGAACAGAACGTGGCTCTGCTCGATCCCCCCGCCTCGACCTCTCCTCTCCGCCCTCCTCTCTTCGCTGCCCTCGTCATCCTCACTGCACTGCAGGGTGCCGCGCACGAGGTCGGGGGCATGCAGAAGGGGCTGGAGGGGCAGGAGGGGCCGGGCGGGGGGCAGGAGGAGGAGGAGGAGGAGGAGGTGGAGGAGGAGGAGGGGGAGGGAGGAGGAGGAGGGGGAGGAGGAGGAGAGGAGGAGGAGGAGGAGGAGGAGGAGGAGGAGGAGGAGGGGGGAGGAGGAGGGCAGAAGGTATGCTGGAGGGGCAGGAGGGGGGCGGGCCGGGCGGGGCCGGGCCCGACGCGGTCCGTCCGATGGCGCTTCTGCCCGCGGCTCGTGCTTTCGGAGAGGCCCCGGGCGCCCCAGGGCCCGAGGGGGGAAGTGGGAAGTGGCCTCGTCGTCTCCGTCCTCGAGGAGGAGGAGGAGGAGGAGGAGGAGGAGGAGGGAGGAGGAGGAGGAGGGGGAGGGGGAGGGAGGAGGAGGAGGAGGAGGAGGAGGAGGAGGAGGAGGAGGAGGAGGAGGTGAAGTGGGAAGTGGCCTCCGTCCTCGAGGAGGAGGATCTGCACGCACGAGATGGGTACATACAGAAGGGGTGCAATGCCCAACAGCAGGTCCTGTTCACTTTGAACAGGACTCGCTGTCCGCGCCGCCGCGGCCTGTGTCCACTTGAGACAGAAGGCCGCCTGCCCCAACAGCGGCAGCTGTCGGTTTGGGACAACATTTGCTGTTGGGCATGGTACCCCTTTTTCCGTACCCATTTCGGGCGTCCAAAGGAGAAGGAGCTTCTTCGTCGTACTCCTTGTCTTTTCGCCCCGTGCCTCCTCATTGCGCTGCGACGTGCGCACCGCGTCGCTGTGGCGCAGCGGGGGGCGAGAAGAGTGGCGCAAGCCCACGAGGTACACGTGGGCCAGCTGCAACTCAACCTTGCCGAGGGCGCGCTGCATCTCTTGTTCTGAACGATCGGGTTGCGATCGATGAACTCAGGCTGGGTGTCTTAAGCAATCCAGGAGGCTGGAAACACACGCGGTTGGAAATCGCATGTGGAAGCTGCGGAGGCCAATTGCTCGATATACGTGCGGATGGCTGGCGTATTCAGCCACGCGAGGGCCGAATCCTGGAACGACGTGCGGCCACCTGTGTATCCAGCTCTCGTCGGGGCTGGCCACGTCATGTGTACACAGCTTCCTGGTCAGAACACACTGAACAAATATCCCGTTTTGTTGGGCTGACTTTTCTGACCGAGGCGGAAACAAGACGACGACGTTGACGACGACGAGAACGACGACGACGATGACGACGACGACGACGAGGTGAGGACGGAGAACGAGGAGGGATAAGGAAGGAGCGAGGAGGAGGAGGATACGGAGGAGGAGGAAAAGGAGAAGGGAGGCGCCCTGCCGTAGCAGATCCCCATGGATAGTCATGCGAGCGGTGGGCCGCAGCAGATCCTTACGTGCATCTGCTATCGGAGCTGTCTTGGGTTATACATTCCTGGGCGTTCCGAGGCGGCGCCGGCGCGACACCTGACGTGACCGGCCCACTCCCTCCCCCCCCCCGTGACGCACTGCATCGCCCGGGCATTAGAAGACTCTCTAGCGTGTCGCCGGTGCCGCCGCCGAGACGCGAAGTGACAATTCTGGACCGTAGGTGGGGGCAGGATGAAAAGGCCTAGGATGAGTAGCAGCCCAGGGAGAGAGAGGGACGAGGACGATGAAGTGGATTGAGTGTTTGCTCAGCGGCGACAACATGCTCCAGATATTGAGCAATGGCCCCGCTTTTCCTCACCCTGCTCTCCTGTCACCTCTGGCTGAGGAAGAGCCCTCCTCCTCCTTCACCACGAACAGAGAAGTCCTGAGAGAAATGGGCTCTCGGAAGAGTATCTCGCTGCTTTCGGCCTCGTCCTCCCCACTTTCGCCTTTGGAGCCTGAAAGAATGACTCGGGATGACAAGCTGGTCCCATGGAAAGCCCGGGCTCCAGGACCCATTTCCCTCAGGACCCCTCTCTTTCATGCCAGCCTCTTGTTCCTGTCACTGGCCTGGTTGCCATCCTTCCAACCTCTTCTCATCGGCTGGCTTCTCCGTCGACCAGGGCCGCCTGTCGAGGAGTCCCGGCTGCTCGTGGTCCGTCCTGGAGGCCGCTCAGATGTAGAATCACTGTGATGGGCCTGATTTCCACCACCACCATAAGATGGAGAGGAGAAGGAGGAGGAGGACGAGGAGGAGGAGGAGGACGAGGAGAATGAGGAGAAGGAGGAGGATCCCCTCCCCCTCCAACATACGGTGGTGGTGGTGGTGGAAAGCAGGCCCATCGCACTGGTTTGCGCGTCTGGCGTGGACGTGCCGCCGAACTACGCTCCCAGCCAGCCGATCGCGGCCTCGCGCCGCCCAGTCCTCATCTCGTCTAGAGACACCTGTGCTGTTCTGTTAGTTTCTCCTTCTCCTCCTCCTTCCCCTTGCTGTCCCCTCTTCCGTCTCCTCCGTCGTACGGTCCCCTCGTCCGTCCAGAGACACCTGCGCTGTTATGCTAGTTTCTTCTTCTCCTCCTCCTCCTTCCCCTTAATATCCCCTCTTCCGACTTCTCCTCTCGGGTGTTGCTAGAAGTACCCCTGGCCCAAGGTACCCCTAGGATTCTCGGGGTGGCCCAGACGGCCTCAAGGGCCCCACCCTCACGAGGCCCAGAGGGCCCCAGGGGCTCCAAAATGGAGCGGAATGCTGGGGGCACATCGGTCCAGGGGCACTGCATTTCTAGCAACACCCGAACCTCCTTCATCATGCTCCCTCCCCCTTCCCCCTCCTCCTGCCCCTCGTCGGCTTGCCGAGCCGCAAGGCACTCTTCTCTCTCCGCATTCCTCTCCTCGGCCCATGGTGCCCTCCTCGCATCCCCCTCTTAGTTTCTATCCTCCCCACTTCCCCCGCCACCCGAACCCCCCATCTCCTAACATTCTCCCCTCTCCTGGAGTGTTGGACCCTGCACCTCCCGCTCGTCCCTCTCGGCCGACTTCTACTTTCGCCTGCCTTCTTTGGAACTGCCTAGGCAGTCCGGGCAGACAACGCACTGCACGCGATACCTAAGCACATGATTCCACAGGGGAGGCCGAGTTTGGCCGGCCGAGGCAGGGCTCTGCCTTGACTCGCAGTGGTGGCTCCCCTTCCACCCGCTGGAGGCGTTGTACATTTCCGCAGTGCTCATTTTCACCATATCAACTTTCGGGACTCACCTTGCAAGTGGTGGTTCAGCCCGGCCGCTCATCCTGGAGATCCTGTGCAAAGACCAGGGTCGACGACGAGCGGCAGCAAGCCCTGCCGTTAGAACTTGCGCTTCGGCATCTGACGCCACACCGCGTGTGTGGCGGCATCCGCTGACGCTCTATAGGATTCTGTTCAGCCTGGCTGCCTGTGCAGGGCTGCGCTGGGGCCTTCACCCGTCCGCCAAGAGGGAGCTCGGGGAAGTGCGGCCGCGGCTCCAAGCCTGTGTAGCATCGGCATCACAATCATTACCGTACGCAGGTGTAGACCGGTGGTCTCGCACGGCCGTGCCCGCACTGGCGTTCTTGCTCGCACTCGGTCCCGCATGCGCCGGTCCTCATGCCACAGTCGTACACACACGCACTCGAAGTCTACATACACACACACACCGACGACGAATCTCTCTCGCGACTCGTTCTGCGATGGCGTCTCCCTCGTTGCCCCAGTGTTGTCCGACGGCAGCCGAGAAGACATTGCTTGGGCAGCGCGGGTTGGACATTCAGTCCCAGTGCCAGTGTGACCAAGATCCAAATTGGGACAATCGAGACGCAGCGTGCCAATCGGACGCGTACGTATCATCACGGCATGGTTAGAAGAGGTCTGGCCGTCTCTGCTCGATCGGTGCGGGCAGCGCCGCCATCCCCTCCCGGGGCCCGCTGGCCAAGAGTTCCCGCAGCTTTGTAGTTGCGCTTCACATCTGCCAGCCTCCCAAGATTTGCCGTCCAGTTCGGGACTCATTCCCAAACGGAATCGCCTCAAGGTCCTCAAGGTTGTCCTTCGATGTTCAGCCTCACCGTCTTCAATGAGCAGCATGATAGCCACGTCACAGCCAGTACCGAGTCTGTGCATCAAGCGTTGCCTTTCCCGCGGCAGCCAGAAACATCATAGCTTGCTCCGAGAGTCTCCCACCAGGGAGTTGCTGCGACTGGTTGAGAAGTTTGTTTAGTGTGACTCGGCTGCGCAATATGCCACATCATTGAGCATGTATGGTCGTTGCAAGTGTTCAGCATGTATAGTATGGGCGTGCGGTTATGTTTGATGTGTGAACCTTGCGAGCATAGATTACATGCACTGTTCATGTTTGGCCGACGCAATTTCTCTTGTAATGAATTCACGTTCGTTGTGTTGCAGGTGTCCGCTTGTGATGTCTGATATTGGTGTATGTTGTTTGGCCCTTGTATGTCCTTGTTGAGTGCTCATGGCGTCGGGCCTGGAGGCATGGGCTTGACGTGTGGTTTCGAATGATATTATTGATTTAGGTTCGTGGTGTATGTTCTTGATGCCAGTCGTTGATGTAGGTTGTTGATGCTTGTTCTTGGTGTATGTTCTTGATTTGCGCTCTTCCCCATTTAGGCTTTTGTCGCAGGGGTCCCCGTCTGTTTGTTAAAGAGGCATATGGGTGCGACGTGCGAATTTCATGTGGCGCTTGGAGTTGCCCTGGTTACGTGTGGTTGCCCGGTGACCCCTGGGGTCCTGGCTGGCTCGGGATTGCCCATGCAATGCCGAGCATGTTTTTATGCAAAGCTAAACGAAGCCAAGCAATACCAAGCAATGCAGAGGATGCAAAGCACAGAAATACGAACCGATGTTAACCAATGCTAAGCAACAACAAGCAACGCCAAGCAATGCAAAGCAAGATCAGCTTCTTACCGCGTTTGTGTGCATGTTGTTGTGCCAGTATTGTATCGCATATAACAGGGTTGACAGTGTGATTCGCGACGCTGGCGAATGGCTTGTTCATTGTGAGCCGATCCAGAATCGGTATCAAGGCGGGTTGCACATGATCGAGTGAAAAGATTTGTTCATCATGATTTGTGCCAATGAGAGAGAGTATTGCGCCGACGTGGAGCATCTTGGGTAAGAGTGATTCTCAAGAGTATCGTTAGTGGCATTGTCATCGTCCTCATCCAGAACGTCGTCACCAGCCGCATTGGTATCAACGCAGTTATCATCACCATCGGTATCATGAGCGCTCCTCCCTTCCTTCTCCTCGAATTTGTTGTCCCCCTAATCCTCATCCTCATCCTTATCTTTTTCCCCTGGTCATCACACCCGGCCGGCTACGTGACACGGAAGGAACATTTCGCCGACCTTTTGTACGAGAACGCGGAATTGGAGGGCACGGAAGAGGCGTGCCCGATGACAAGAAAGAGGAAGATCAGGAGGAGGATGAGGCGGAGGAGGAGGAGGAGGAGAAGTGGAGGCGGCGGAAGTATGGGAGGTAAGGGAGGGCGAGGAGGAGGAGGAGGAGGAGGAGGACGACGACAACGACGACGACGACGACGACGACGACGACGACGACGACAACGAGGAGGAACGGTAGAAATCGCTCAATCCCGCCATCGGGGGAAGGGGAGGGAGGGGCTAGGGCCCCCCAGAGGCTTCTGCCCCTCGAGGCCTGCAAAGACCCTGAGCGGGGCCCAGAAAGAGCCCAGGAGGTCTGATCCCCTGCTCCCTCCTCGATCCCTCCTCGAGAAGCATGGGAGTTCCTCTGGAGTCGAAGCGCTGACATAAGGACCATCTCGGGCTCAGGAGGGGCTCTAGCTGGGGGGCCTGTTCGAAGCCGAGGCTCGCCTTGGCCAGAAAGGCCGATTCGCTCCTTCTTCCGCTCTCCTCCAGAGGCAGCACGATGGCTGCAGTCCAGCCCCTCTGCCCCTCGTCAACTTCCTGCGCACCGGCGCGAAGAGCGAGCACGCCGGCGGCCGTGCCGGGCCGAACGCAAGGGGGGGGATAGGGAAAGGGGGGGTACGAAATCTGCTGCATGCAGCTGGTTTCGGCCCCGCCGCCGGGCGCATTCCTCGATACATGGGCGCCTCCCGGCGCTGGGAGGCGCCGGGAAGATCAGCTACGTGAGCTGATTCTCTACCCTACCCTTAAGGCGGGCCCGTCCCTCTACAGGAGGAATATCCAAAAATAGGCCAAAAATAGTCTGGGGATTATTTTTTGATGCGTTTTCTTAATATCTCGGTATATGTTTTGAGTATCTTTTATTTATCGTCCCAAAATCCGCCTGTAGGGGAGCATGCCCGACCTAACCCTGCCCCTTGCTATATCCCCCCCTTTCGCCCCCCCCGATCGTGGCCGCATGCCGGTCAAGGCCAGGCGCACGAGCCGCCACGCAGCTTTTGCATCGCTCGGACGTGTGCTTTTTTATTGTCCTCGGCGAGAGCCGTCGAGGACCATCCTGGACCATCGAGCAAAAAAAAAAGCGCACGAAACCGACAAAGTGCACGGGAAACTGAACGCCCGAGCGACGGCGAGACGGGCCTCGGCGAGAGCCGTCGAGAACCATCCTGGACCATCGAGCAAAACAAAAATCGCGCACGAAACCGACACGGGAAAGAGATCGTCAAAAGCCAGACTGCGCAAGCGCGGCATAGCTCGTATTGTGCTGGATTGCCAGCACCTGGGTCATGTGCGGAACGCACCGGGAAGGCCAACGCTGCGATGATAGGACCTGCTCTTCTCGAGCACCGTGAACCCACTGACCCACCCACGCGTTGAAGGACTGCTGGAGCGCGTGCTGTTCGGGCGGGCCCCTCTCGTGGGGCTGCATCGAGAGAACTCAGCGGCCGTCCCATGCAGACGGGGCGCACGCCGTCCTCAACGACAGCCAGGCGCGGGCCCAGGGCGCCGTCCCGCAGCGAAAGGGGCTACTGGGCAAGAGCTCGCAGCACTGGGAGCCAGGCCGGCCAGCAGGTGTTGCCCTTGGCCGCCCTGCGCCACTGGATCATCCACAGGGACGGGGCCGTTGTACTCGGCGTCGGGGCTGTCACCCCGCAGGCGAAGTCGAAGAAGCCCACAGAGAACGATCTTGGTCTGCGGTCGCTTGACTCGAGCAGCGCTCGGGCGGCGGAGGGGCGCTTCCGAGGCGAGCTGAGGCACTGACGGCAGCGAAGGGCAAATACAGGGAGAACCGCCTCAAATAGTGGATTCCGGACACCCTGAACCCAAAAATGGTGCCATCTCTTGCGAAAGCGAAGTTTACTTCGCCGGCTCCCGCCGGCTTCTGCCGGCAAAGGCGGCCTCGTCGCACTCTGTTTCGCTTCCGCCGCCCTCCGCCAGCCTTCCGCCACCTTCGACCGAGGAAGAGACGAAAACTCCTTCGATCCTCGAGCGCGAGGCCCTTTCTGGATCGCCTCAAGTACGTCATGTGTCCCCCACTGTTGGCGGGAACCACTCGACGATGGTGGCTCTGAAGGTCCACCTTTTGGCCGCCTCCGCCGGTCGGGCTCGTGCCTGGCCGAAAGGAGCAGACCGCGACACATCGGTGCTTCGCGGACCCTTCGAGAAGAGCCCAGCTAAGGGGTGCTGTCCAAGTGGCGCGGCGCCCGTGGGCAACATCATGAGACTGCCGTGAGGTCGCAGAGGAAGGAGTCCGTCGTCACTTTGGCGTCTGTGTCGCGATGGAGCGCGATGTCCGTGGTGGGGTTCGCTGCGGGTGACGTGCTACCGAAGATCCTGTCGCGGCGCATAACCCGGGAAGGCGATTATCGCTCCCGCCCCATTATCCGTAGCACACAACATAATTTAATACTTCCCGTAGGTGGAAGCCGACGAAAGATGTCGTTAGTAGCACAACAAAATCATACATGAACAACTTCCGCGGAGTGGGGGACGGTGGGAGTAAGCTGACTTAGATAGCCCAGGGGAGGCTTCAAGACTCTCGCCGATAGTCTTGAACTAGGAGTCCTAGGAGAACCCGATTGGATCATATGAAGACCTTGGTGGGATCCTGTACTGAGGGGTCGGGGAGCGAGATACCACTTCCAGGGGCGAGAAGCGATACAGCTTCGACGAAAAGGGGGGGGGCCGATCATTGTTTCCCGAGGTCACTGGCCTGCACTTGTCTGCCGAGGTGCACCAGCCTGTCGGCTCTGCCCCCGCAGGGCGAGAGCTCTGCAGTCAGGTGGTGCCCTCCCACGCAGCGAGGACCATCGGCATCGGGGAGGAGGAGGAGGAGGAGGAGGAGGAGGAGGAGGAGGAGGAGGAGGAGGAAGGAGGAGGAGGAGGAGGAGGAGGAGGAGGAGGAGGAGGAGGAGGAGGGAGGAGGAGGGGGAAAGAAGGAGGAGGAGGAGGGAGGAGTAGGAGGGAGGAGGGGAGGGAGGAGGAGGAGGAGGAGGAGGAGGAGGAGGAGGAGGAGGAGGAGGAGGAGGAGGAGCGAGGAGGAGGAGGAGAGAGGAGGAGGAGGAGGAGGAGCAGGAGGAGAAGGAGGAAGGGAGGAGGAGGAGGAGAGGAGGAGGAGGAGGGAGGAGGAGGAGGAGGAGGAGGAGGAGGATGGCAGGAGAGGCCTCCGTGGCGGGCCGGCGGTGGCTGCGCCTGCGCGGGGCAAGCATTCCTCTCGGAGCGAGGGGGGCCATCCTCTCCTCCTCCTCCTCCTTCCTCCTCCTCCTCCTGCTCCTCCTCCCTCCTCCTCCTCCCCCCTCCTCCTCCCTCCCCCTCCTCCCTCCTCCTCCTCCCTCCTCCTACTCCTCCTTCTCCTCCTCCTCCTCCACGAACGGCCAGCTATTCATTGCCCCTGGGTGCGTGGCAGGAGCGGCGCTCCGTCCGGCGGATTCTGCTTGATGATGTTGCGTTGTCGTCGTCGTCGCCCGCGACCCGCCCGCGACCCACCCCGCGACCCACCCCGCGACCCACCCGCGACCCCTCGCGCCAGTGACCTGCGTGAGAGAGGTTGGATTCGAGTTAGGCCCAGAAGGATGGCGTTCTTTCGCTACTTTGGAAGTGTTTGTTCTGAAGTCTGGCAAGCAGCGTCGTCCACCATTGAACGCAGGTGCAAGAACTCAGCGGCTGGATATGGCACATTCGCCGCTACTAACACCAAGCGACCAGGGCTCGCCCTGCGCATCGGATGAGGGACACAAGCCACGATGACCTTAAAGCCACCACAGGATGATCAAGAAGTTCTGCCGAAGGACAACTTCGACAATCTTTCTCGGCAGCAAGGATATCTAATGTCGGAAGTTGGCGGGCGATGTTCAACTCAATGGCAGAGGGCCGCTCGACCTCCGTGGACAAGCTTTGGATACAAAACAGTATCACCTGCAGTGCAAGAGCCTGGCAATCTCACGGATTCTCACCCTTTGGACGGCACGCACATTTTGCCGCTCATCGCCGTAGACTTTGGGGTCAGAGCGCGAACATGTTTCTTCTGAGCACAGGCGACCGCGAGTGTCGCGGCCTTTGGCCAAACTCTTCTGCTGTTACCCCACGAGGAAGCAGCCTCGGGAGTCTCCGGCAGCCTAGAGTCGATCGTCGAGCAGGCTTCTCGCACTCTTGACGACCCGGATGACCAAGGTGCAGGCAGCGGTTGTCAAGCATTTCGGCCTGTACCTCGCAGTCTGACAGACCACTTAAAAGGCACACTACTCCAGGCCTCCTAGATGGGGTCGGAGTTGATGGGATCGGAGCATCGCGCCGCATCCTCGATGCATCGGCGGTGTGGCTCGATGCGGAGCCCGAGTTTCTCCACGCCGAGATCGCCGCTGTGCCGCCGATGCCTCGCCGATGCATCGCCAGCGCATCGGCGATGCTTTGGCGGTGCGTCGCGATCTTCCGGCCCCATCTGCTCGGACCCCATCTTGGAGGCCTCTCACTGCGGCTCGGAATCGTTTGCCACGCCTCTGGAGCACTTGACCGCCAGGGGCGAGCTTCAGCCCCTCCCCGCTCCAGCGACCAGACCGGGCTGCGCAGCGCGTCAGGCCGCCGCGGGGGTCCAGCGCCGACCCAAGGAGTCCGCGGGGACTTCCGCCTGCGTGCGCCGTGCTTCTGTAACTGCCGGCTGGGGGGAATAGGAGAGAGAGGAACAGAGCGAGCAGGGGGGGGGCTAGGGAGTCGAAGAAGGACAAACGCCATAAACAGAAACTTTTGGCGCTCCGCGCGGATTTCTTGAATCCGCGCTGGGCCTCCCCCTGGCGGCGCCTCCGGCGCTGCCCCTGGCGCGCGCCAGGGAGGAGGGTCCAGGTCCGCTATAAGAAATCCACGCGGACCTCCCAAAATTTAAGCTTATGCAGTTCGTTGCTCCTCTTGTGCCTCTAAGGGAAGGAGGGGGCGATGATTTGGACTCCCCGCCAGGAGGATCGGGAAGCTCATCCGGTCCGTGAGGTTTCTCTCTGGTACGACTACCACGGAGACATTGCCGGCGTGCTGGCACAGGCCGGAACCGATACCCTGAGCGCACCGTCCAGGCACCAGACACGTTTGGGACCCAGGAGGCAGCCCAGGCCGAAGGCCCAGGTCCCCCACACCTCTCCACCTTGCCTCTTTCTCCATAACTTTTCTTCCTCCCGCACTGCCCTGCCCTGCGATAGGCGCAGCACACGAGAGCCAGTCTGCCCGCACGGGCACTGCGGAGAGGTCCTGTCCCTGGGTGGCCCAGGCACCCACCCGTAGAATTCGGTGGGCTCCACCCGCGAAGTGCCACAGTGGGATCGGCAAGGAGAAGCGGCACAAGCGCACTGAGCCAAACAAGTGGGGACGAGGCGCACATGGGTTCCGAGGGTCAGGCAGTGGCGAAGCGTCCTGGCTCCCCTATAGCCCCACCGAACAAGGTTCTAAGAACCTTATGTGGTTTCCACGAAATGTTCTTAGAACATTTCTGGCTGGGGCTGTCTTGCTTGAACACATCGGGCTTATGTTATGAGAGCATTGTTTTTGTTATTCGAACATTTGGGGTTCTAAGAACATTCCGTGGTAGGACTATAGGAATGCCGGGATGGTCGGTCCTTGCTCAAGAGAGGAGCTCGAGATTCCTGATTTCCATCCGTGGGTCTTCCATGGTCTTCTTGCGGTGCCCCTTTGTGCACTTGGGTGCGGCCGAGGCCCGAAAGGGGAGTTCGCTCCTGAGCCACGGTCCCCTGCGGCAGAAGAAGACTCCCAGCCTGATTAAGCTAAGCTTTCGGACGTCCGCCGATGCATGTTTTCCCCGCCAGCGCCGATCCCCTCGTATCACGAGGGGGTCGAGAGGCTCTACGTCCCCCAGCCTTCCCGGCGAACTCCCGGGGAAAGTCCGCTGGTTTTTTGTCCACCCACCTTGCGGCCGGCGCGCTTCGCGGGGAAACATTCAATCATTCGCCGAGTACTTGCTAGCAAAATGCCTACTCGCAAACGTCCGAAAAAACATGCCTGCCTTGATGTAATTTATCGTAGATCCCCCGCGGGGGATCCAGGCCATTTGCGAGTAGGTACTTTGCGAGTAGTGGAACGCGCACGTCGAATCGTATTTTTCAGCATCCACCCTCCCCCCGCGGGGCCAGAACGTTGCGGAAGACTTTCTGGCCCTCCTGGCCAGCGGCACTGCTTTCGACGCCCACCCTCCCTCCGCGGGCCGACACAGTGCAGAGTGCGATCTGCGCCGAGCAGCTTGTGCCCGCACCCGCCCACTCGCCAACCGTTCCCCCTCCCCCATGCGGCATTCGCAGTTTCGTCGGTGGGTCGTCGTCGTCGTCGCCACCGTCGTCGGTCGTCGTCGTCGTCGCCAGGCCATGCGCCCCCCCCCCCCCCCCCAAAAATGGGCGTCTGCCATTCGTGGTCGTCGTCGTTCATCGGCGTTCGTCGTCGTTCGTCGTCGTCGTCGCTGGGCCTTTCGTTGCACCCCCCCCCTCCATATGGCATCCGCAGTTAATCGTCGTCTTTGGCGTCGTCGCCAGGGGAAGCAGGGTATCGCAAAGGTATGCTACCGCACCCACCTCTCCAGGGATGCCCCGCTAGAGGGAGCAGGGTATCGCAATGCCATGCAAAATCTAAGGAATTCGACCGCACCCACCTTTCCAGGGAGGCCCCGCCAGAGGGAGCCAGGTATCGCAATACCATGCAGATTCTTAGGGATCCCACCGCACCCACATCTCAAAGGAGGCCCCGCCACAGGCACCAGGGCATCGCAACTCCATACGAATTCTTAGGAATTCTACCGCACCCACCTGTCGAGGGAGGCCCCGCTAGAGGGAGTTGGGCATCGCAATACCATATACGTTCTTAAGACTTCTACCACGCCCACCTCTCGAGGGAGGCCCCGCCAGAGGGAGCAGGATGTCGCAATGCCATGCAGAATTCTTAGGAGTTCGACCGCACCCCACATCTCCAGGGAGGGCCGGGTGCCGCAATGCCCAGGGCGGCTTCGCCAGAGGACCCCCGCTGGGGAGGACGAAGAGGAGGTCTCTGGATGTGGTTGGAGAAGTTGCCATCATCATCATCATCATCATCATCATCATCATCATCATCATCATCATCATCATCATCATCATCATCATCATCATCATCATCTTCGTCATCGCCATAGTCCTCACACGGTTTTCGGGGTGACCATGGCCACACGCTGGCGTGCGTGCGCAGAGCGTCCTGTGTTGTTTGGAATAGGAAAGTTGCCAGGTTGCGCTTGGAACTCAAATGAACACTTAACGGTGGCCGATTGGGTTTCCAAGTTAACATGGGGTTTCTGTTATGTTTTGCATTGTGGACACCACAGAGCATCACGCGCGCGAGCGCGCGCGGGTGACCATGGTCACCCGCCTGCGTGCGCGTGTAGAGCGTCTTGTACAGCCCGCGAAGAGAAGTCGCCATATTGGCCTGGAAACTAAAGTGATCACTTAGCGGTGACCGACTGGATTTCGAACTTAGCATCGGTTTTCTTGTATCTCCTCCACTAACCACAGAGATTACCACGCGCGCTGACGTGCGCGGGTAGCCATGGTCACCAGCCGGCGTGCGTGCGTAAAGCGTCCTGTATTGTTCGGAATTGGAAAATTGCCATGGTGGCCCTGGAATCCAGTGAACACGTGAAGGTGGCCGATTGGATTACGAAGTTAGCATTGTTTTTTTGCATTACCTGTGTTATACACAGAACAGAGAGCCCCGCTCGCGCGGACGCGCGTGGGTGGCCATGGTCACCCGCCAACGTGCGTGCGTAGAGCGTTCTGTATTGTTTGGGATGGAAAAGTCGCCATGTTGGCCTTCAAAATCAAGTGAACCCTTATGGCGAACGATTGGAGCTCCAGGTTGGCATGGTTTTTTTGGTATGTCCTGAACTTTGCGCACTACAGAGGCACCGCGCGCGCGGACGCGCGCGGGTGACCATGGTCACCCGCCAGCGTGCGCGTGCAGAGCGTCGTGTATTTCTTGTAATAGTCAGATTGCCATGTTGACCTAGAAACTGAAGTGGCCACTTAGCGGTGACCGCAATTCCTCGTCGTCGTCTTTGCCGCCCGGATCCACGCCTTTTTGACGAATATGCACAGGGGAATGTGTGCTGATTCACGAAGTGACCCACCCTGGGGGCCGCCGCCGACTTCGGGAAAGCCTTTCGCCTTTCACCCGCCTGCGATAGTTCTTGAATCCACCCCCTAGGGGCCGCCAGCTTTCGGGAAACCAGTTTCGCATTTCGACCATTCGATTTTTCGGTGAACCCAACCCCCGCCGACGTGGCGTGAAGAAGGGCGAACTTGGTCAATCTATTAATCACCCTTCCTGGGCACTGGGTTGCGGGCCAGGGTCCTAACATGTTTCGTAGCTGGGTTGCGTTTTAAGTTTGACCCTTTTTTCAGAGCCCAGAGTTGCCGGGAACGAGGGTGGCACACTATCTCGATTCCCTCCTCCTGTATCGGCTTTCTTGGCGCCTCTTGAGCGCCGGAGCGGGATGTGGGAAGGATGGTTGGCGCCGGCGGAGAAGTTGTCCGCAGACGTCCGAGAGTTCATGCCTGCGGGCGGGAAACTTGGCTCAGCATGTCGCTCCGCTGGGTCTGGCCCACCACGTTTCGGCCCGTCACGTTTCTCACGTCCCAAGCTCCATGCGTCAACATCCTGAGCGTTTGCCAGCCTCCCGCCCCACGGAGCGGAGCGACACGCCATCCGCTCGCAAGGCATAGCGTGTCGCCTGGGCCGCCGCCGCAGCACGCCAATCAACATTTCCCGACCGTATGCTTTAGGATCTTTCGTATCGACGACACCAGCGTCGAGACACCGCCGCCCCCATGCTTGTTGCAAACGCTGGTGTCGTGCAGTGTCGACTGGAAGTGCGCGCGCACTAGCGGGCTGCGCGTTGCGCTGTCCGCTGAGAAAACCACTGCGGGAGCAGCTGGACAGGGCAGGGAATCCTTGGACTTCGTGTGCATGTGTGCGGTGGCTATTGGAGATCCCCGTTGGATTGTGTCAAGGCTACCACCTCCTGCCCACGCTACCACACAAGGTGGTACGCTTGCTTAGCGAGCATCCCACCTTTGCCAACAGTACCCGCTGATTGCCGCCATCAACGCGCCAGAAACGTGTGTGTGTGTGTGTGTGTGTGTGTGTGTGTGTGTGTGTGTGTGTGTGTGTGTGTGTGTGTGTGTTTGTGAGCGTGTCTATGTGTGTGTGTGTGTGTGTGTGTTTGTAGCGCGAGGGCCCCCCCCCCCCAGGCTCTAGTGCTGACTGCACCCGGCGGTGGTCCTGATGCCAGTCTGCTTAGTGCTTAGAGGCCAGCCAGAATGAGTAAATTTGTCCTTGTCCGAGCGTGCAGGATGGTTGACGCGCGTCTTCTTGCACGCCCAGTGCAGGGTTCCTTTCCTTTGCTTCTTTCTAAGCAGACTGGTTTCATGCACACCGTCGGTTGCAATCATTTGACGTGGCCTGTTCTTGTTCATCGCGACTGCGGTGTCACATCGCCGGCTGTGTAAACGTTTCCCCTGTTTTTTATTGTTTTTTGTTTTCTTGTGTGTGTGTTCCCGGGCCGTCTCGACCTTCTAGGGGATCCGTTTGGGCCTCTTCGGCCCCTCTGGGGCAGTCCTGGGTCCAGCGCGGGGCTGCCTGTGCCGGCGTGGCGGGCATCTTGGGGCGAAGAAGAAGGTTGTACGAAGAGAACGAGACGGGGCACAAAAGTAGGGAATAACCCAGCACGGGCGACAATAATGTACCCCCCCCCTTTCCCCTTCCTATTTTTTTAATCCCCGTCCAATAGGATTTAATTGTGAAGAGGGGCGCGGAGGCCGAACTTTATAATCCTTGGAAAAAGTTGCGAATCGAAGTTGCTATCGTCCCATGTTGGCTAGCAACAGCATCAAAAATGCTGAGCATGGCCATGACGGTCTCACCACACCAGCGTCCGCAATCACGAGCGTGTGGCAGGGCTGTGGGATTCTCACCAGTTCCGTTTGCCCACGTTACGAACGTGCGGCAGGGCCATGGGA